AAATTTGAGAAGGCAGCTGAGATTATGCCATCAACAACATCTAGAATCATTCTGCCATATATATATATATATATATATACCAAATACTTAAATTTATTCCATAATAATGATTACTTTCATATATTTACATATATCAATCAATTTAATATATAAACATATAAATTTATAGATAGTTTTAACAAATAGGGGCAGCATGGTTATTTCTCCAGAAACACCTGCCCCAGCTATTTTCACACAGTTGCACCAAAAAGACAGTCGCTTCCCCGCAGTAGCTTTCTGGAGCTGCGCAGCTGCAACTGAAAAACTAAGAAGCTACAATTGTGCCAAACAGAGCCTAAAGCTTGCGACTCGCATGTAGTGAGGAGTTATATATGTAAAAATTTTCATTTGGTAAAACCCAAATTTGGTGAGCAAAACTACTCTTTCAAACGAAACCTAACATTGCTCTCCCGAATCGAGAAAATAACTTGTGTTAGAATTCTAATTATTTCCTACATTTTTTTAATGTTCAATATTTTAAATATTATTATTTGAAATATCAATTATTTAACAAACATAATTAGAAGTAGGTCAAAAAATCTAACTCAAATCGACTTCAACCCAGCTTGCCAAAGCTCAACTAGTATAACCCATTTTAAATATACATAACATATATTTGGTTCAATTTCAAGTCATACTCACATTTCTTTTGAGTTTGTGTCAAATTTTAATCACCTCAAATTCAAGTGAATTTTGAGTTAACAAATTAACCTAGGCCAACCAAAAAATCAAACAGCTCATAATTAACTATTTAGCATGACTGGGATATGATCTTATTTTTTATACAGCAAAAAGGTTTATTTAGAATCATGAAACACATAAATACACCGATTTGATAGTTTAAAAAAAAATCAACTATGTGATTCATTTGTAAATAGCAATGTTTCGAATAATTTATACGTAATTATCCCAAGAACTAATTCCATTTGAAGGCAAAATTATAGAAAAGAATTTTTTTTTTATACCGCACAATATAAATATAATAAAACAAGTAATATACAACACATACACATACATATATGTATGGCTATTATACATTTTATATCAATGTTGTTACATTAACTACAGAATGATCATTTCACCAGCTTATTCGAAACTGCGTTTGAGTTTTTACACTAAACGCGGGCCGCAGGTCGACCCCTGTGGCCGGTCCAAGGGCCGCGTTTCAGGATAAGCAGCTTATCCGAGAACGCACAAGCTGCCTTAAACAGACCCGTAATATGATTTCGTAGAAAAGATAAAAGTTTAATTTAGAAAATATAGAAGATGCATAATATTGACAACAGAAAGAGATAAAGGTAATTAATCCCTCTCCTTCACATTCTTTAATTCACATAGATATTATCTTATTAGATAACAAATGACTTTTTCTAACATATGTATGGAAGGTAAGAGAAAAAAAAAATATTTTGATGTTAAACTAACGAAAACTAGTAGAAAAAGAAATTAAATTTGAAAGATTTACATGTATGATGCATGCCACTTAATTCCTATGTATTTACATATCTAACACTAAAGCTTTTAATTTTTAACTATATGTTATAATCTATATAAACATAATCTTTATTTATTAGAATTAAATGAAAATATGACACTTAAATAGATGAAAATGGAGAAAAAAGATTCATGTGATCAGCACCACTTAGTGGGATAAAAGCTTATTGTTGTTGATATTATTATATGTTGTTATCTCAATCATGTATGAAAATGTGTATTTTATTTTTTAAAAGCTAAACCAATGATATTATTTTTTTAATGTGATATGAAAATTTTGGGTGTATAAATACAAAAAGCAAAGTTTATGTTTTAGATATGTAAATACACAGGAATTGAGTGGTATGTATGTAAGTGCCCCCTTATAATTTTAACAAATGTAAAGGTGTTATATGACAGTGGGCCTCTTTGGCCTACTAACAAGAAACATGATAATTTGCTAGTTCATGTTCTATTTTTATAGGACATCAAATAAGTTAAACTACAAATTATTGGGTAATGTCGAGACCCGGTCCACTAATTAGTTTCCTAATTAAAAATCCCACATATCGCGCACCTACTTTCCCACCTATCGCTCACATACTGCTCTCGTGGTTTCTATAAATAGTCTCTTTTTGGCTTAAAGGAGAAGCCAAGCCAAGTCCTCTTGAGGGAGAGATAAGAGAAAGTGTGGAAGAGAGAGAGAGAGAGAGAGGAAGTGAGAGAAGAAAACAGAGATTTCCTTGTAAACATCGAGACGCTCGACGGTGTAATTCCTCGAAGAAATAAAATCCTCTGCAACTCCGTGGATGTAGGAAAATTTGCCGAACCACATAAATCTGTGTGTCGTTCTGGTGTTTTTTATGCGTACAATTTTACTTATTTCATTTTTTGCTTTATTGTCGTCGTTTTTCACAACAACTGTTATCAGAGATTATGTTCGAAAAGGAAGAACGATGGGCGGAGACGAAGTGATGACATCGGGGATCGAGAAGTTCAATGACACAAATTTTGCTTACTATAGAATGCAGATAGAGGACTACCTTTATGGGAAGAAACTTCATGTTCCGTTACCGAGAAAACGACCAGAAAAGATAGACGAGGTGGAATGGAATCTGTTGGATCAACAGGTTCTGCGGGTTATACGATTAACCCTGTCGAGATCAGTTGCCCACAACGTCATCAAGGAGAGTACTACTGCAAATCTCATGGCTGCTTTATCAGGTATGTATGAAAAGTCATTGACGAATAACAAAGTGCATCTGATAAAAAAAATATTCAACTTGAAGATGGAGAAAGGTGTGTCTGTTGCTCAACATCTAA